AAAAATTGGACAACCCCTCCCGGTGTTTCCTTTCCTGAGGAGTCTTTGCCAGATCGGGCCGAAGAACAGAAAATAGTGTTTTTACAGACTGTCCTGCTTTCCTAGACTTGACATAGGAGTAGCTGCATCCCGGCACTGCACAATGCGTTTCAGCTGGCATAGTAAAAAATATTTAAATCACTTAATATATATATATAACAATACTCACGTATCGATACCACAAATACTTGGTTTGCTACTCCAAACTGTGTAAGTTGAAATAAAGGATTCCTGTGCAAGTACGGTACCTACGATTAGAACTATATGTACCGGTAGATAGATTAGAGCTAAGTTGTCTACAATACCGTGGTACGGGCCTGAAAGCAAAATTACCGAAAATGAAATGGCAATATCTGAATAATATTATTGCTACTGCTGTCAGTTCAGCAGTTACCGTACCGGTGCCAGGTTATCGTACCGTGTTAGGTCAAGTTCACAGTCTGTGACATAAATATCGCATCGAAACGAAAGCTAGCGTGATTTTTAGAGCTAATCTACTCATATATATATATATACGAAGCGTTACAAAATAACTTAAAAATGCCCGCAGCTTGGGGCAACAAAAAACCTTCGGTCAAAATATTTGGCGGCAAAGTTAAGCGCTGAGAAGGTCATACCTCTTTACTCATGCGGAACTATGACGTCACACAGAGGTAGTATCTCTATGTTGACCCTCTATAGTTTAACTTTCTGTGACGTAAATCTCGACTCAAAATCGGCGATTTTTTAAACCTGGTCTGGAGGTGGTTTAACTCGGTTTGTCGAGTGCATTTGGATTGCGGCGCTTGTCGTGTTGGATGTTATCGCTTACCGTACAATCTATATTGTATTCTGGGGCGACAAAAGGAGTAGCAGGGAGCTCTGTACAAGCAATGACATTAAACAACATGATAGGCAACTCTGACGTCACTCCATAAGACTACAGGCGAAAGATTGTATTTCATGATACGCTCCAATGCACATATTTATCGTCGCCTTTCGCGATCGTTTTCCGCTCGCTTTTGCTACTCGGCGTCTTTTTTACGTGTAGTACCTGCCTTTTTGCGCTTGTAACGAAAGAAAATAATCTCTATATCTAAGACGTTTTGCTCACTTGGAAAGCTGGGATGGCAGACAAGCTGTAAAGAGCAATTCTGGACATCATAGACGTTTTTTTTATCATAGAAGATTACAAACGTGATAGCGGAAAGATTTGTGTGGAACATTTTGCAGATAATGACAAAGTTCAAAGTTAGTAATTTTAATGTTTGCGCTTAATGATTGAAATTTCATTTAAAGAGGGTGTCATACAAAACTGTTTTTACTTTTCTTAACGGTGCTGTGATACAATTTCATAACACAAAGTTTGCACCTATTGAACTTGCTTTTGTAGGTGAATTTATTAGACATATTACATATTCAGTTAATCGTAGGTAACATTGCTGGTACATTCGGTTTGTTTAAATTTAAGAATTTAGCTCATAGGCCACTAATTAATATTATCATCTATGCAGGAGGTTGCAGAGCTGTATTCAACTTGCAGCCTTACCGATCACCTGTTGATGCTCATTTAGTTTGGATCGAGCAAGTCTTCTTGAAATGCTTGTGTGGATGGAAACTACCTATATGTTTTGCATTCCTCCGATTTTAGACAAATTTGTTCTGAGGGATTTTGCATATAATTCTCATTGATTGTTGGCTGTTTATAATTCCTATTAATCGTGAATTCTGATTAAAACAAAGAGTTTTACCTAATTTACTGGCAAAATTTTACCTAAACAAAATTTTTTACCTAATTTACTGGCACCTTTTTCTTGTCAATACTCTAAGCTGAGGTAATAAACAAGACAATACATTTATGTCATCTGGAAGCAAAATATGCACACTAATTAATAGTTTGACACATTGAGATAATACATCATGACAGAAAATACAAGTTAAAGATATGTATGACTATCCCATGGTAATTAAAATTGATAAAAATTAATAGGGGCTTTGGAGTATGAAAAGTTCAAGACAAAGAAAATAACAAATATTTATAGCTCATGAACTCTCAATTTTGCCTCCATTGCTTTGTGAAGGCCAATATATTTCGAGTGGCTGAATTGGTTTACCTTTATGATAGCAACGATTTTGTATTTAATATAGCGAGATTTTTTTCAATTTAATTGAAGTGATATTATTTCCCAAAGCAATGTTTGAATCGTCTAGAATTGATCAGTGGTGTCAAACTCATGTGTTTTCGAGAGCCGCAATGCATTTTGGAAATTGTAAAAAGGGCCGCAAACAGTTTTTGATAATGTATACTTGAAAGATATTTTTAAGATAGTTTTAGTTTGTGACATATATTGTGATGCAACTAAACAGCTGGATTAAGTTTTATTATTTTCTTCAATTTCAAATGCAATTACATATTAATATTTGCATTCCACATATTATTGCAACATTTGCAAGTTACTGTATTATTTATAAACAAATAATAAAATTCTATGTACAACCATCAAAATCAATTTTGAACAAGCTTTGGATAAGGAAAGAATAATACATACACTAAAAATGACTTTATCTAAATATATGAACCTAAAATTAACAAAAATACTACAGTATATACTCAATGTTTTTTTTAATTACATTTGTCCTGACGTTTGGCATCTTTTTTGTGTCACCAGCATACTAAGGCCAGGCTGAAATGATTTTATAGTACCAACTCTAACTAACGAGGTCACATGATCATGGGTTAATCTAGATCTTTGCGAATGTTTAATTAATTCCAGTAATGCAAAAAAGTTACTTTTATCATTTCATGTATAGATCAGTAAAAAATAAAATGACAGATTTTTTCGACAAGACATTTCGTACCACATTGCGTGGCATAGGATTGCTTGAATTATTATTGATATTGATTTTTAGTAACTAAGTCGTTGTATAATTATATTAATATATAAACATATTTCACTTTAAAAGGTTTGAAAAATCTATTACATTTAGATAAAAAAAAACTTCCAAAATACTATTACAATTAGCGTTAGCGTTCGAGGGCCGCACTGGAAGTTCTCTGGGGCCGCGAGTTTGACATCTCTGGTCTAGATTGAAGTTGTCCAAAATATATATAACAGTATTTTATCATGAATGATGATTATACCCCTTCCGGAATTTCTTCTATAGTACTACCAAAAGTTGATGAACCAAATATAACACAGGTGCAGTGAGTTACCCGTTATCCTAATTTTACAAAGCTGTTTTAAGTATGTCTGGCGTGTTTTGTGCCTTTTTACAAATAAGACCGCCTATGCAATCTTACGCTTTGGAATTTTTAGTTATTTTCCTCAAGACCTGCACGACGTGGGGGCCATACACAACTCTACTGGAGTCAAATGTCTTTGCATGCCCCCATAGGTCGTTTTTCTATTGCAAACATTTATGGAGTACTCTAATTATATTTCTTGGAATCACACTGTCACTGATATGTCGCCAGACTTTTGATATCTCCTCTTCTGCTATAGTGTCCTGTGAATAAATAATAGGAAATTGAGATTAGACGAATAGTTGAAACTTTGCATTATGTCGGCTTAATTTCTTGATTGATATACTTACTATATTTGCTATTGCCTCTTGTGCTGCAGGAGTCTCACAATGCTTAGACAGGTTTGTCCACAACTTTCACATCTGAAGAAAGAGAGGAGATTTATTAATTTTCGTTAAGAATAAATAAAGCAGTCTATATGATTTAGAATGGAAAAGCTAATAAATCCAATATCCCATGTTTTATGTAAAAAATGTTTTACTGAATTTGGTATATAAACCAACTAATAAAAGGGTTTGGTAGGAAAATTACAAGCATTCGTGGCTCCAAATACTTGAGAGATCAGACTATACAATATAGACCGTCATGAGTGAAATGTTAGGTGAACTTGTTAACACTTTGATTCAATACGCAAATAAAAGTGAATGCGCAATAGTATGTTACAATGAGCAATGAGTATATATCCTCACTGATTAAAAAAAATCTAAATGGAGGTGCATGAACTATTTGAAACCATAAGGGGTAAGTAAATATGCAATTTCGGCGAATGGGCAACTACTTACCGTACTGAATTAATAACTTCGTAGTATTTGACAAAGGCTGGCTTTCCCACGTGTACTTAACAGTGCGATGCCCGGGTGTGATATACAACAATAGTATTTACCTTACCTTTTTCCGATTTCTTTTTACCTCAACTTTCCGAAATATCATTAAAATCGACAACAACTGTCAAAGCAGACACGAACACCATTCGTGCTATGCCTTAAAAGCAGCACACATCCGCTCGTTTTCGTCTCGCCAAGTATGTGCATTGGAGCGTGCTATCGGATACGATCTTCGGCCAAAAAAGCCGGAGTTGCGCATCATGTTGTTTAATGTCATTGGTACAAGCGTCACGACGAATAAATAATTGTATACCTGTACCACGAGGCTGCGATATGTAGCATTTGCGGTGGTACCTGTGCTGTACCTGTACCTAGTACCTACCGTACCTCGCCCGAACAAAATTATTTACAACGTGGAATTGGGCTATACTATAATAAATTTAGTAAGGTAAATACATACCCAGCGTATTGATACATTTCTGTATTTGCGTTTTTTAATTTTCTTAGCAGTTTTTGTGAAGATTTATTTTAGCTTAGATTGTAGACTACAGTTATACCAGTAGCCTATTGCTATATGGGTTCTTGTCATAAACAGACATAGGGCCCAGTATTTTAGTATAGTTTCGTTGATAAGCAGTTGCGCAGTAGTACCGTCGAACAGATACTCCTAGTCCTAATACAGTAATATAAACTTCAAAATGTTTTAACAAAAATGATATATTTTCAAAAATCATATTGCATGTTATTGGTATGCTGTTTGCACAGATGTACGATATTTATGGTATTAATAATTCTGACTCTTGCTCTATAAAATGAAACTAGAATATTGTAGTACCGTGACCATGAATTTCACCAAATGCTAGATTGCAGGAATGAGTATATTGATAACTATATATTGCCAATAACTTATCATGAATGCAATGGTTCATGCTATCATAACATTTCTTTATTGTAACATTGTTTTCTGATTTTTCATTTATTTCTACAGCTGTTTCAAATCAAGTAAACTGTCTGAGTGCCATGATGATGATCAATTTCATCAGCTCTATTGGAAGAGCAAATTTGTGAGTTTGTCACTATTTAAATGTCATATTATTTGTATGTAAACTGTCCTAAATTCATGTTCGTATCAGCCTCTTTAGTATCAGCTGTTGAATAAAAAATTATTTTTAGTTTGTGTGTATAATGTGAGGATACTTTTATCAAGGTAAATTTCTTATTGGTATTGTCCCAAATATGTTCAAGTAACCGAGATGTGACAAGCTTTTCAAAATCATTCCCATTAGTCATTTCTTGTTACATGCAGGCAAAACTAGTGTCACATGATTTTAGAGTAGAGCAAAGTTGTTCGACATGCAATCATAATCGAAGACAAAAGAGCCTTCGTTAAATATCTGAAAACTAAAAATACTCTACTGTTTTACTTTTCCAAATTCATATAATTAAATATACATTGGATTTTATGTAATTCAAAAAATCATTTTAGAATACAAAAAAATCTGTACAAATTTGAATACAAATTATTCGGTTTTAGTCATTGCCTAGGTCGAATTTGCTTCTTTAATATCTAGCGCACTTCATCAATATACTATCTTTAACCCTGTATTTTCATTTATACTGTTCAGGTCATGAAGACAAACAACTGTTATGGATAGGATTATAGTAAAAGTGTTGTCAAGTCAAGGTGGCAGCAGTGCTTTATTTTACGACTTCGTGTCCAACAAATATGTGGAACCCGGTTAACTTAAGCTTAACGAACAAATAATTCTTGCATGCTAAAACATTTGAAGCAAATGTAGTTATGTCGATTTTTCGTCACTTGGCGAGTCTTTCGCAGAAGAAATAAATAAAACCTTTTAATAGCAACGAAAGCAACAGCTATGATTGCATCTGTCTCAAAGCTGTAGAGCCAGGATAAAATTTAGCACCTCTTCCGAATTGATTCTATACTTTTTCCATTTCTTGAATGTCAGTACATTTTAGCAGTCATTTGAACAAATGAATATTAGTTATTTTTGCAATACAAATTTTCAAAATAATATAATGTTAAATATGTAGAAGCCTGTGGCCCAGAACTTGCCAGGGATAGGTGTTCAGCTGAAGTGTGTTCATTTCGTCTGTTTTCACTTTAAGTAGGATGTGGGTTCTATAATTGAAGTCTGTTTGTTGTTACGCTGAGGTTTAGGGAGAAAATATTAGACTCAATTGGTGTTGTAGACCAGGGTCGTCCAACTCGTGGCCCTCAGGCCATATGTAGAAGCATTTCTAGGTGTTTGCAAAAATAGCTTGTCAAGACAGACCATAACTCGTCTCGTTGAAGAGCTTGGGAATTCTATTGCGAGAATTTTAATCGCAAAAGCGGGATATTTTTTATTGTATTCCTTGGCGCTTGAGAAAGCGCTGACATTAAGTTTACTGCTCAGTTGGTGACTTGCTATCTTTTTGCGGGTAGTTAATGATGATATAAAATTACCGTGGAGACCGCAGCCATTGCCCCTGTTAAGGGTTTGACTAGAGGCATTGATTTTTCGACAGTTGTGATAAAAAATGATTAAGCGTCTTGTCTTTGGCTAAACTTTCGAGAATAGCCACTGATGGCGACCCGTCAATGGTTAGAAAACAACAGTTTTATTGTTCTAATAATTGTTAAAAATTTATGTGAGGGTATTTTTTTATTATTAACCTGTAGTAGTGTAGCAAAACTAGATCATGACTACCATGTCAATTGGCCCGCGCAATTATTAATGAATTACATGTGGCCCCTTAGATAGGCTTACCATACGTCCCGGTTTAGCCGGGACAGTCCCGGATTTGACAAGCTGTCCCGGCGTCCCGGCCGGTTGACTCGAATGTCCCGGTTTGTCAGCACGGTTTTCATGGGTAAAAAATTCAAATTCATTAATATTACAAATTTTTTTTAACGGTGACAGCCCATTTACCACTGTTTTGCGACACACTTTGCTAGTTCAGAGAGAGAAATCGCTCTATTGTTATGTCACAATTGGTATATGTTTTGATGCGTTTTCTGGCGTTAACTGCAATGTCGTTAAGTTGTCGAAATGCCAAAAAGAAAGTACAAGTTTTCTGATGAGTTGAAGAAAGATTTACCTTATTTGAAGCAAACTGAAGGAGGAAAGGTACACTGTACGCATTGCAGATCTGTTTTTCTATTAGTCATGGCGAACGTTCAGATGTCAACGATCATATCCAAAGCAGGAAGCACAAAACAATAACATTGAAGCATCGACTCGACTGACCAATTTTGCGATAACAAATTCGGATGATTCTGTGTCGTTGGCAGCCGACATTTACCTATCACACTGCTATTCATGACCAAAGTTTTGACTGCACCTCTAAATTAATTTCAAATTTTTTTGAGGCTAAATTTGCATTAACTTGTAAATATACACAGTTAGAATTTCTGATGTCCGCTGTTTGATAAGCGGATTCGCTGATTTTGCACGTTTAGCCAGAAATAAATGAGAGTTGGTGCATTGCTCCGTTGTTCTCCCCTGAATTTAATGATGATTTACTTCAAGCTCGAATGGCAACAAAACGCAGAAAAGTTGATGCTAAGTGCAAAGGGTTCAATGGCGCTGAAAATATTCAAACAGAATCTTTTGAGATGCAATGAGGAAATAAATCTATATTCTATTCGAGAGATGTATCACTGCTTGATTTTTAATATAAAAACTATCATCCGTTCAGTTTCAACTTTCTAAAAATATCTGCGGCCCGCCAATGACTCGCAACCCTTAATTTTGGCCCGCGGGCGACAAAAGGTTGCCGACCCCTGCCGTAGATGTTGCAAATATTCTGTCAGAGGTGAAGCTATGTTTGCGATTTTTACGAGAAATGTCTATCGTATATAGAGCTGCACGATGAAGCCTAGAATGCTGCCAGGCATATGGACAAATTTGAAGAGTGAAATAAACTGGACTGAAGTGTTTGGTCTGCAAAATTGATAAATGATATATTTGGTTAGCTGATCAGATTTTGAATAGCGATGCACTTTTACGAATACTGATAAAGAGATATTTATCTGAGCATGGTTCAAATGCAATTTGACTTACTTTGCCGGTTGAAATTAAGTGGACAAAGATGTTTAACGTTTTTTCTAACAGAAATATTAGCATTTCGAATTTGCAGCAAATTGGTTGATTTTGTTTTTCGGAACATCGGCATCTGTTAAAAAGGATTTTTTCCATTGTTAAAAAATTTTGGTCCGAAAGCAGGTGCAGATATGCCAGAAAAAAATATAAAACCACTCCGTAACCTGCAAATTTAATGGTGATGTCTCTTGTTATCAGTTTTATGACAAAATCAAAACAGGAATTTTTGAGAAAGGTTCCATCTGCGGACAAATACTTTTGGTCTAAATGAATAATACAAACTAATTTTTTGTGTTTTTTCTAATTCAATGATCAGTAGAGATTTACAGCCGTATATACCCGCAATGGCATGGTAGACGTTCCAATATTATCAAGACTGGCAATCGACCGAATGTTTGCCAAATCGCACCGTCCCGGTTTTTTGTTTCAGATTTATGGTAAGCCTACCCTTAGACCAAAAAGGTTAGCCGACCCTGTTGTAGTTGTAGACTGTACCCAGTAGTGGGAAGAATTCTATTTATGATAAAGTGTTATTATTTCGATATTTCGTGTAATGCGCGTCAGCTCTTCGTAGTTCTACCGCCCAGCTTGTTTTGCTTCAGCAAAATCAACGAAATACATCAAATACCGACTTTGCAAAGACAGCAAATTACAACAAAATTGTGTTCGCGTTGTCATCGCCATGGGAATACTGGGTCAAAGAGCAACATGCCACGACGTTTTAATGAAATGCCTCGTGGCGTCGGACTTAAACCAGGATTAGTTAAGTAACCGCTAAACTAGGTTTTTGATCTCCGGTTAACTATCGAAGTTAAACCAGGTTAACTAACCCGAGATTAGTCTTAATCCAAGTTTAAGTTAAGTGAGGTTTTTGATCTCCACCCTGAGTGTCATTGCTCGATAACCAGCTTTGGTTCCCCGCAAGTAATACTGTGTATTTATCATTTTACTGGTTGGAAAAAATAAACTTGACTTGAGTACTAGGAGAAGACTGAACAATACTTATACTGTTATAGTGTCACAGTCATGTATTTATTTCGAAGAATTACTAATAATTGAGGTTCAGTCCCAACCATGTCTATGATACGAGTCGAGACGATTATAAGGATTTGACTATTAAATTAAACAAATGGGAGATTGGAGCATGAGTTACATTTATCACAGCATTGTTAGATTTATTTTAACAACAAAATCAGTTTGGCCATAAGATTTGAAAATGCACAAAATAAGAATGTTTTGCTCGACTAATGTTACAATGCTGTTTAGGGCAGCGGGTAAAAAAAATTTAAGGGATAAAAAGACCATCGAGCATAGAGAAAAATAAAACTCCAGCAGTCTATACCGAAATACTTAACTTTATTGGGACACGAAGAAACAGAAATGACGTTCACCTATCGGACTTGGATTAAACAAATATTTGCGTTTGTTGGAACGTCAGATTGAAAAGTTTTTCTTGTACAGACTAGGTTTTTAGGCACCTGTGTTGGTTGTGTGCTTCGGGTGAAAAACATAATACGCGAACTAACATAGGCGGTGACCGTACATTTGAACCCACGTACATTTGAACCCATGCGTATATCCACGGGTTCAATCTATATGCGGGTGCTAAAACCCATGGGTTAGGGTTAGTGTGGGTTCAACTATCCGAAAAACAAAAAAAATTCCATAGGTGCAATAGCATACAGGTGCAATTGCCATGGGTTCAAATGTACGTGGGTTCAAATGTAATGGAACCAACATAGGCATCAGAGATGAGCGGAGTCAGAATTTTCAGACTCCGACTCCGTCCTGATCCGAAATCAAAATTCGAACTCGGAGTCCGACTCCGAACAAAGAAACTATGACTCCTGTTTGCTCCTGTTGACAAATCTAATATTGACCAAATTTAGTGTTCACTACAGCAGCAACATCAAAACGTGCTGCGCTGATGTATTTATGATGTTTTTCCATCTGACATCTGAAACATTCGAGAATATCTGAAAATCATTATTATGTTTCCCAAACTCACATTTAAACATTGCTAAAACTAAAACCACTGACTATGGGGGGGGACTGACTATGCATTATAGTGTTCACTACAGCAGCATCTAAACATTGCAAAGTCACACTAGCGCACACTCATTACTATGTTCAATGACATAACAAATTCAGGGATCGTATAAAAAATTAGTTATAGTCATAGAATAATATTTTGCTTGGGCTTGCTCACCCATTAATTCAGTGTTCACTACAATCACATTTGAATATTGCAAAGTCTGCATAGAACTGATGCTTCATAGCCACAATTACATTTAAGTATTCAACATTATTCTTCGCCAAGAGCATGTTCCATCTGTTGATTATACAGTGAGTGTTCTACATAACAGTGAACAGTATAGGATGCATTTCCTTGGTAATGCACACCAAATTCACGACACATACCGGTACAGGCATGTCTGCATGTGATTTCGGTACCGGTATTCGCTACAACCCGACAACCGCATCCAAACACAGAACACCAGAACTCTGTTTAAAATTATAAAACACCCAGTTCAGGCTGTACCGATACAGAAGTGGTAAACACAGATTCATAAATGGTACCGGTAGCATCCTGAAGAAGCACGATTATGTATAAATATTTATGTACGGTACAGATAATTCAAGTCCGTTCAAATTATGCCTACACCGGTACGTACAGACGTACGGTACTTCTATCGGTCACGGTATATTATAGATTTAGTTGGGACTCCGGGCAACCAAGAATGTTCCCACTCCTGATCCGATCCTGTTTGTTGAAAACCCTGCCGGAGTCCTGTTTTTCGGAGTCCTGAATCCTGTTTGTGCTCAACACTAATAGGCATCTCTCCAACAGCCTCTTATTGGACACGTTAGTGGACATAACGATCGTTTTGGTATTTTTGTTGTTCTTGTTCTTATTTGTCTTCTTCTTGGTATCGTTATGAAAAAATCGCTTTTCTCGTTGATTACTGGACCAATTGCTTTGAAATTTTCAGTGAGTAAAGATTATAGTTTTCCCCAGAAGGATATTACATTTATTTAATCTTAAATTTTATATGAATCCTATGAGATATGATATTTCATACAAAATTTCGCGGTATTTATTTTTACTCATGGGAACACTGTTTTACACTTATTTCAAGCGGTTTCGCGATCGATTGTCTTGCTCAGTACTACAGCTACTGTAGGTCGGTACTGGTAAGTTGCATAACCGTACCGTAACGCAGTGAAATTGACTTATTCCTTCCGCGGTCTTACTAATGCTGCAATGCAAGTTTTATAGCTTATCGTATGCGGAACGGAATATCAGACCTACAGGTTCGGTACCGGTAGCTCAGTACGTAAGTACGATACTGGTACTGGTGCCGGTACCGGTGTCTTACCACAATGAAATTACCGTACCTTATTCTTTCACCGTCCTACCAGTGCAGTAATGCAAGCGTTGTAGCACTTGTAGCCTACTATATTTGTTTATTTTGATGAGAGTCTACTGGAAACAACATAAAATTTGAAAGGGAAGAATTGTTCTGTGATCAATTATCTGTCCTAAAGTGTAAACAACATAAAATTTGCAAGGGAACAACTGTTCTGTGATCAATTACTGTATATAGCCTACAGTGTACAGGTAAGATGCTGGCTGACTGCTAACCGGTACTGGTAGCTCAGTACGTAAGTACGATACTGGTGCCGGTACCGGTGTCTTACCACAATGAAATTACCGTAACTTATTCTTTCACGGTCCTACCAGTGCAGTAATGCAAGCGTTGTAGCCTACTATATTTGTTTATTTTGATGAGAGTCTACTGGAAACAACATAAAATTTGAAAGGGAAGAATTGTTCTGTGATCAATTATCTGTCCTAAAGTGTAAACAACATAAAATTTGCAAGAGAACAACTGTTCTGTGATCAATTACCGTATATGGCCTACAGTGTACAGGTAAGATGCTGGCTGACTGCTAACTCAGTACCGCACCTAAGTTAGGTACCGGTACCGCCGTGAATTCAGCTCTCATCTCTTTGTTGGACACGTAGTGGACATAACGATCGTTTCAATATTATGTTGTTGTTCTTGTTCTTTGACACGTTTTTAAAAAGTCGCTTTTCGAATACTGGACCAATTGCTTTGAAATTTTCAGTGGTTAAAGATAAAAATTTTCTCCAGAAGGCTATTACTTTTTTTTTTCGCTATGACGTCATCAAAATTATGTGACTCTACGTGTCCATATATTTGAGCATAGCTCGCTTGTTTTATCTCTGATCCAGCAGTTGTCTCATGATATAAATATTGCCACGTCACCAACGTTTTGACTCCATGGATGCTATTGCGAAAATTGAACGAATGATGGCATGACGTTCACCTGTCGGACATGGGCCTGAGCTAATATTCGTTTTTTTATTAGATAGTGTAGTAATATTGTGTTAATTACTTTAGATCAGTTTGTTTACATCAATGGTTGATTTGTCTACACTCTACAGCGTTTCCCAACCTTTTTTGGTCGCGGACTATTTTCTCACCCGCGAAAACCTTTGCGGACTCGAAGTGTTCACGCTAGCCTAATATCGCATTTTTTACGGTCTACTGATTTTGGCATACTGATTTTGGTCTTGGAATTATGGTCCTACATCCGGGGCTTTGCTCAGCTGCTTTCTAGGATTTTCGATGTGAAGTGTGCTTATCTCAGTTTGGGGTTAGTAATGCTAAATTTTGTGGGTTTCTGGCCTATATGGGTTTCATCAGACAAACTTTATATAGATGTATGATTTTATATTGTTGCAGATTTTGTTGTGCTATGTACGCTGAACGTTGTTAATCGTTTGCTATAATAACTGATATCTCAATTTTGCATTGCCGTTTGCCATCTTCAATCTTTACAAAGAAAATTACATTGCTGCATTGGTTTTCGTTTCTACAACTTGTGTTCTGTGTGTTTCACTGGATTGGGTCATCGCTGTCAGTTTTTCAGTTCAAGGTAAACGCATTTCAACCAGCAAACTGGCAAACCAGAGAATTAGGCAACATCAAATCTTAAATTATCAATAGAAAACGCTGGCATCTCAAGGGGTCTGGCGTGGGATAGTTCTAAATGATCACTGTCCTGAACATTAAATTAACAACGAGGTACAAGTTTAACTAAAGAATTTAAAACTATATCGTATATAACAATGGCTGAAGATTCTGCACCGCAATTGCAACATGTGATCTCCTCTGGAACACCAGTTGCTAAGCATGACGATGCAGGCTCAACTGGTTCAGCTCATTCTGTTATTTCTAATGAGTCTGTGCGTGCAGAATACAATCTAAAGATGGCTCAACTCAAGTTGGAGCAATTTGATCAGGAAGAGAAACTGAAATCTGAGCTGTTAGAAGCAGTGAGAAGAAAAGCTGCTGAATTGCAAAGATTTCGGCTTGAACAAGATTGTAAGGAAGCTGCTCTTATGGCTGAAATGGCTGATGTGGAATCTAGTGATGGTTGGAGGTCTGTTGACTTGGCCAATACAGCTCTGGGAGATGCTCAGAGGCCTGTGGCTGTTGGTTCCTCAAATGTCAAAAGAAGATTATGTAAGAATAGGTTTCCTGAAGAATTCAATTCTACATCACCTGAAATGTCAGTTCAGGAAAAAGTTCATTTTCTGGGAAATGTTTCTAGACCCTATCAAAGGGTTAGTCCAGGCAAAAATGTTGACAATTCAAAGAGTAAGGCTGAAACGCAATTCTCTGAACATCTATACAAATTGACTCAAGCGATGCAGCAAGGCTTTTCACTTCCTCGTGCTGAGCCATTATCATTTGATGGTGACCCTTTGAACTATTTTTCATTCATGAAATCTTTCGAAAATTTGATAGAAGGCCAGGCATACGATTTTCGCACTAAATTTCAACAATTAGAACGTGCATGCATTGGTGACGCTAAAAGGGTTATTAAGCGTTTTACTTATGAAGAAGATATCGAAACTGCATATTATTCTGCTTTGAATGGCCTAAAAGAGGAATTTGGTCGCCACGATCAAGTTATTGAAGCTTATCGTAAGAGTTTAACTGAGGGCCGTGTACTAAAGATGAATGATCTGTCTGCATTGCGGGAATATGCTTCTGAATTGAAAACATGCCTTGTAGTTTTAAAGGCATGGAAAAAGCCAAATGCAATGGATTTAAGTGAATTTCTAACTAGAATTTTTGCACGTTTGCCAGAAGATCTTCAACGAATGTATTTTGCGGAGCTCTTAGCTTCTTCAAAAAGGTCAACGTTTGCTACTTTGGTAGACTTTGCTTGCAGAGTAGCTCGGATTACATCTGACTGTTGTGTAGCGTCTTACATGAAAAATGCTGCTCGGGTATCTGATAAAATTGCTAAGAATCGAACAAGGGATGCAATTTACACTGCAGTTTCGTCATCCGTTGACGATCAACTTGAAGCATCCGATGCCGTTCCCAGCTCTACTCTTCCAGAATGCTTGTTTTGTAAAGACTATCACTCCATATATAAATGTGAAAAATTCATGGTGGAGCCTGTTGAGTCTCGTCGAAATTTTGCTCGCGTTCAACGTTTATGCTATAACTGTCTAAAGCCCAACCATATGGTTGGTAGTTGCCCTTCGCAAAGTAGATGCAGGGCTGAAGGATGTGGTGCTCGTCATCATACGTTGCTCCATATTGGTCATGTGAACAGAAATAATCAGTCAGTCCCTGCGACAGTACATGGGGCCGGTAATAGCATTTTTTCATCTCTTTCAGTCAATAAAAATGTTTGCTATGTTAGACTTCAAGTTGCACCTGTTAGGGTATTTCTCAATGACATGAAAAAATCAATTGAAGTGTATGCCTTTCTCGATCATGGAGCTACTCGCTCATTTTGTTCCAAGTCTTTATTAGATAGAATGAATATTTCTGGTTCTTCTGAATCTTGTTTGATTAATGGTATAAATGACTCAAGGCAACATATTGGCCACAGGGTAAACCTCAAAGTACAGGGAATTGGGGAATCAACGGTTGTGAGATTAGATAATGTTTTGGCTTTAGACGCTCTTCCCGATTTAAGAGGTTCTTTACCAAGCAATGATATTACTGCAAAATATCCACATTTGTCTAATTTGAAGTTTTGTAACTTGAATGCTGATAACATTGATCTTTTGATCGGTGCTGATGTTCTTTCCAGATATCCACCAACAGAATATTTGCAAGGCGATGACAATGCTCCTACAGCATGTCATACAATTTTTGGTTGGACACTGTTTGGTCCGGATATTCTGCATGGAAACTCAGAAACCGAAGAAGTGTGCGATTCATTTTCTAATGCTAATTGTGTTTTTCATATTTCCAATCCTATTGTCAATGATTGTGATAGTTTCAGTGCTCCAATGTGTAAAGTTTGTGCCCATGAATTTGCTGATATTAATTGTGACCCATGTTTAACTGGTTTGTCTGTCAATGACAAGAGAGCTCTTGAAATTATGGAAAAAACGACCACCACTGTTGATGGTCGTTTGCAAATAGGACTCCCGTGGAAGAGTGACAACGTCAAACTTCCCAACAATAAAAGAATGGCAGAGACCAGATTAAGGTCTCTGAAACGTCGTTTTGAAACTGATAATGATTTTTTCTGTATGTATAGGTCTAAAATGAATGAGTATATTGAAAATGGTTATGCCGAATTATGCCCTGATGCTTTTTCACATACTGATAGAACTTTTTATATTTGCCATCATGCTGTGATCACATCGGGAAAATTTAGAATAGTTTTTGATGGTAGCAGTGTCTTCCAAGGCACTTCTCTGAACCAGAACCTTCTTTCGGGTCCCGACTTGAATAATGGCCTATTGGGTGTTTTGTTGCGTTTCCGTCAAGAACCCATTGCGTTCACTGGTGACATCAAGCATATGTTCCACCGAGTTAAAGTGAGCCCTATTGACCGTGATTCCATGCGTTTTTTGTGGTTTGAGGATGGTGACATGACAAAACCTGTCCTTGAGTATAGAATGTCGTCTCATTTTTTTGGTTGTGTGTCTAGTCCTTGTGTTGCTACATTTGCTGTGAGAAAGGTTGCTGATGATAATTTGAGTGGTGCTGATTTTGACACTGTTCAAACACTTGAGAGAAATATGTATGTTGATGATGTTTTGAAAAGTTGCGAGTCGTCTGAGAAAGCTATTAGTTTGATTAATCAATTGTGTGAATTGACTGAAACAAAGGGGTTTCATATGACAAAATTTGCTAGTAATTCAAGTGAAGTTAATTCATCAATTCCTAATTCGGAACTTGCTCCCTCACTGAAATGTTTGGATTTGAATGGGTCTGGTGTTCACCACGCCCTTGGTGTGAAATGGAATATGGGGCCGGATGAACTGAAAGTGTGTGTGGATATTGAACCAAAGCAAGCAACTCGTAGGGGTATATTGAGTGCTGTTTCGTCTATTTTTGATCCACTTGGCCTAGTCTCACCTTTTGTTTTGCCTGCTAAGCGTATATTGCAAGATTTGTCTAGTGAGGATTTTTCATGGGATGATACTATTTGTCATAGTCATAAGGTTCGATGGGAGAATTGGGTTTCACAGTTGCCAATCTTGAATGATGTTTCAGTCCCTAGATGTTACAAGCCACCTGGTTTTACGCCAATTGATATACAATTGCATTGTTTTTGTGATGCCTCTCAAGATGGTTATGGTGCGGTTGCGTATTTACGTTTCATAGATGCTAATGGTTCTGTTCATGTTTCATTTGTGAAAAGTGTATCAAGAATTACACCTAAGCGACCTATCACGGTTGTCCGCTTAGAATTGATGTCAGCTGTCGTTGCTGCTGAGTTGTCCCAGTCCATCAAAAGAGAATTGGACTATGAGATGTGTTCCTACTATTTTTGGACCGATAGTATGTCTGTTTTGCAAATGATTAATAATCGCTCTGAAAGGTTTAAAATTTTTGTCTCTAATCGTATTGCCCTAATTCATTCATTGTCTAAAGTTGAATCTTGGTTTCATGTGAGCTCTGAATTGAATCCTGCGGATGTTCTATCTCGAGGAGTTATGCCCAAACATCTACCAAAAATGTCTGTTTGGTTTGCCGGCCCAGAATTTTTGAAATTAGATCGCTCTCATTGGCCCAAACCTTGTTCTGTGAAATGTGACGATAATTTTGCCTCTGAGGTTAAAATTAATTTTGTCTCTACAAGTTCTAATGAATTTGCCTCTGTTTTTGATTTGCTCAAACGCTTCTCTTGTTTCGAAAAATTGTGCCAAAGTGTTGGGTGGTTGCTCCGTTTTAAAGCATACATGAAATGGAAGTTTCGCAGTGGTCCAAGACCGCCTGTGGGAAACTTGAGTGTTGATGAGTTGGAATTTGCTATGCATAATGTGATGAGTCTGGTTCAGTTGGATTCCATCTCGCCTAGTTTGTTGCAGTTGGGTTCCCGAGTGAATGATAGTTCTCCCCCTTCAAGTAGCAATTTGAAACCATCCACGAGTAATTCTTCGAAGTTATTGTTGAAGTTGAATCCATTTTTTGATGAAAATTGTCATGTGTGGCGAGTTGGTGGACGACTGAAGCATTCCAATTTGCCTTACAGTCAGAGGTACCCAATTATTCTGCCTCAAAGTCATCATGTCACTGAGTTGATTGTACATATGTATCATTGCAGGGAGGGTCATTGTGGTACTTTGCATACATTATCTGCTCTAAGAGGAAAGTTTTGGATCCTCAGAGGTCAGTCTGAGGTTCGGCGAATATTGGCCAAATGTATGGTTTGCAAGTTACGTTCGGCAAAGTTTAGTAGTCAATGGATGGCACCTCTCCCTAAATTTAGGATTGAACCTGGTCGAACTCCTTTTGATAAATGTTCAGTAGATTTGTTTGGCCCACTCAAGGTTAAATGCGGTAGGCGTGAGTTGAAACGTTATGGTTGTATTTTTACATGTTTAGCCACGCGAGCTTGTCATATTGAGTGTGTTGAGTCGATGGATACACCATCCTTTTTGAATGCTTTGTTTCGTTTTTCTGATCGTAGGAATACTCCGTCACTTATTTATTGTGACAATGGTTCAAATTTAATTGGTGCAAAGAATGTGTTGGCTCAAGGCATGAACAATTTGGATTCTACCCGTATTGAAGGTGAATTGGCACGGAAGGGAATTAAATGGGAACATAGTCCTCCTTCCGCCCCTTGGCAAAATGGTGTTACGGAAAAGATGGTTCATTTAACTAAACGTATTTTGTATGCTCTTGTAGAAAGACGAACATTGACAGATTTTTCCCTTATTTCATTTCTCACAGGCGTTGAGAGAATTTTGAATGATAGGCCAATCACGCCACTGAGCGATGATTGTAGAGATTTTGCGGCCCTGTCGCCCAGTGCGATTTTGCATGGTTGTCTTGACACCTCCCTCCCTGCCGATCGATTTTTGAAAACTGACGAGTATAGGGATTGTTGGCGCAGTGTTCAACGTCTATTGGATATGTTTTGGTCAAGATGGACCAAGGAGTATTTGCCCCTCTTGCAGTCTCGCAAGAAGTGGACCTTGTCTGGTCGTAATCTGAAAGTTGGTGATCTGGTTCTTGTTCATAATGAGAATTTACCGCGTGGTTCTTGGCCTAAGGCCATTGTTGAGAAAGTTTTTCCGGATGGTGATGGCATGGTGCGTAGGGTCGAAATTAGAACTGCTACATCTAGTGCTATGCGGGATGTAAGACGGCTGTGCTTACTTGAGGGTAGTGAATGATGTTGTTTGATATTTATATTTTCTTCATTTTACTATTATTCAGCTTAATTGTATAATTACACCGTTTTTGGGCCAAGTGTTTTGGGCTAGCTGCTTGTGTTTGGTAAATGATTCTTAGTTTCCCTGAAATTTGAATAATTTCCCGGGGCCGGTTATGTTCACGCTAGCCTAATATCGCATTTTTTACGGTCTACTGATTTTGGCATACTGATTTTGGTCTTGGAATTATGGTCCTACATCCGGGGCTTTGCTCAGCTGCTTTCTAGGATTTTCGATGTGAAGTGTGCTTATCTCAGTTTAGGGGTTAGTAATGCTAAATTTTGTGGGTTTCTGGCCTATATGGGTTTCATCAGACAAACTTTATATAGATGTATGATTTTATATTGTTGCAGATTTTGTTGTGCTATGTACGCTGAACGTTGTTAATCGTTTGCTATAATAACTGATATCTCAATTTTGCATTGCCGTTTGCCATCTTCAATCTTTACAAAGAAAATTACATTGCTGCATTGGTTTTCGTTTCTACAACTTGTGTTCTGTGTGTTTCACTGGATTGGGTCATCGCTGTCAGTTTTTCAGTTCAAGGTAAACGCATTTCAACCAGCAAACTGGCAAACCAGAGAATTAGGCAACATCAAATCTTAAATTATCAATAGAAAACGCTGGCATCTCAAGGGGTCTGGCGTGGGATAGTTCTAAATGATCATTGTCCTGAACACGAAGTGCGTTTATTGCAACCTGTGCGAAGAAGCAATAAAATCAAATACAACAGAATTGTTACGAATTTCAAAATCGGAAATTTCGCTGCAATTACGGCGTTCGTTAAAAAGAGCCGACTTTTTTAGTGTATAATTGGCTTCCTGTCGCTCAAATAATCATATCCAATGTCTTTCTATATTTAATTTATTTGTGTTCATGGTAACTCGCGTTGCGTCGACTTACGACAAGGTGAAAGCATTTCTTTTTTAAAATGTCAATCGACAATCTGTGAACATAATAATGTGAAACTATAGAGGACTTGCACGTGACTTTGTTACCGGACGGCAATAAAACAAAAACGTCCATTTGGCTCCTGTCAGTTGCAAGTCGGATTAAACGTTTCTGTTTTGTTTGGCTGTTGAAAATGGTTATTTCGTATTGTTCCGTTGGCTGTACGTATAGTATACACCAGCGGTTCCCAACCTTTCTAACCTGGCGGACCGGTAAAATTAGATTAAATGTACTCACGGACCGGCAAAATATTAAAATGGCCGGAACAGAAAAGAATAACATAATATAATGCAATGTCGGGCACTCAATATGCTTTTAGACAAAAAAGCACACTTAAAAACATTTCACACGGAGAAAAACTATCAAATAATGTGCCGACCAAAAATTAAAAATGGATGAAACATAAAATAATACCATATATTTGCGTAATGAAATGCAGTGCTGGGCACCCATTATGCGTAAGAGAGGCACGCATAAAATATCTCACATTAAAAACAGTTACATGCCAAATCATGTACAAATACAATTTCCTCCTGTGAGAATTTTGCTGCTGTTTCGTTTCCAATATAAGATTGCAAACGAGGCCTCAAAGAAGTTTTTGCAACACCTAGCTCTGCAGCCGATTTCTTTGCTTCGTTTTAATTGAATCTAGTGATGAAAATGTTTTTTCGCATAACGCAGTAACTGGCTAAAAAGACGGACAACAGTTTGATTACTCGACGATGGGTATTCGTTATCAAGTGATATCTAAAATTGTGATTAGTAATTCTTTTTTAATCTGGAATGTGAAGTAGAATCGCCATTTTAATCAAGTCTTTCCTTATTCATTGGGTTCATCATATATATTAATCCCTCTGCAGTTGATCGACGCCTCAAACGAAATGAATTTGCATTACAATGACAAAGTCGTCGGTGACTTGGCAACGAGCTTAAAATCCTACTGGAGTCTGGAAAAGGTCTGTCGCAACAAGTTCATAACTTACTGGAATATTATACAGTTCTTGACTGTTTTCTGGTTTAAAAAAGGAGATATATATGCATTACGTTTTATATGGGTGGTCATATTAATCAGGAAAAGCACGCAGAACAGAAAAAGCACGCGGGCCGATTTTGAGGCTCCTTAATTTTGCGAGATTTGATGGAGCGCATTCGCGATGAATCGGAGGCGAAGAGTGTGAATGCTCGGCGGCAAGATTTCGCGTAAGACGGCGTCAAGATGTCGCAATATGACGGCGGAAGAGAATTGCGTAATGAGTCAACGCAACTTTGTCTACGGTAAAGCCATTGAGACGGTATAAAAACAGCAAAACAACCGAATTTCTCGCGGACCGGCAAAAAAGCTGCACGGACCGGCACCGGTCCGCGGACCGGCGGTTGGGAACCACTGGTATAGACAACGAAATGGATCTTCAGTTATATTCCACTGATTTCAAAAGATCCAGAACGTCGCGCAATGTGGATATCATCGATTGCCTATTGGCAGAACTGCTTGGTGTCAAGTCCGGAAGCCATCTTACTTGTGTTTCACTGTTTGAGGACAGCAATCCGTTGATGGTAAGTGATAATGTGGTGATAGTGTGCCGTTATCAATTTCTTCAAATATTCACAAGCTCCCTCATTTCAATGGAAAGCAGATGACAAACTACTGTTATTAGTAGGCCTAGGCGTGGGCCTACTTGCAGTTGCAGACTTGACTTGTGTAAGACAGTAGGGAATTAAAAATCAATTGCTATAAGGTATTGTTTCCCTAATTAGCAGGTAATCTATTACTAAGTGTGGAAGGTTGAATAGATAACTAAAGTTTAACACCAGTGGTCATGCAAAAAATAACCAGAATTCGATTGAATTCGCCATCTAGGAATACGCTCGCAACCGCATCTCTGATCACCCTGGTAGTTTCACAGGTTTCAATTCCAGAGAGGATTGCAGCTCTACTCCCCCCGAGGGTGGTTCACATGACCGCTGATCGGTTACGACCATTCCCCACTATGCAAGTCCATGCTTCTGAAAACAAATAACTGGCTCGCCCCCCCCCCCCCCCCCCAGATAAATCCTATTCTAATGGTGTCTTTCCAAAATGTCTTTTTATTGCCATTGGTAAAAAAGATATGCTACCCGGAATCAAATTCATTTACGACTAGTGGCTGTGGTGGGATATGGACCTAAATTTCACACTCCTTGGTCGTTAGATTTTATGAAAACTCTATCTGTATCCATTATCTTACAGATATGGGTGCGACCATGGAACAGATGGATGGCAAAGTATAAGTTGCAACAAGACCACAGTGGCACAAGACCTCAGCTTGCGTGACTTGATAATACATCCTCAGTATCCATTTATTGATGCTTATCGTAATGACAAAGTAACTCGTGATTACTGTGGATTGGTGGAGATAAAGTGTCCATTGTGCTTTAACGAAAGCAACTTTAAGACGACCCTATCAAAATAAAAAAAGTTGTTTCGGTTGGTCTGGTAGTGAAGGTTTCAGTCTAAAGTTGGACACCGATCCTACAACCAGATACAGTTGCCAATGAAACTTAGCGAGGCGTAATATTGCGACTTTGTGATCTGAAAGGAAATTCTGATGGGTAGCCGGCTGGCCGCAACCTTTTGTGTAAAGAATATTATGAGATATGACTCAAGAGTCTAAACTTTTATTTGAGAGGGGTGTAACCCAAGCTAATTGGCAAATGGTATTCATGGTACTAAATATATCACACACTTTAAAGTAAATATAATAAATTATATTTGAAAAATAAAGCACATCAAAACTGTATTTTTAAAAAACAATTGGTTTTATCTGCAGATACTAGGTTGATATTGAGATTGACCATTTCAATGCTAAATTTTCTTTAGTAAAAAGTCACACTTGATTCGCAAAGATTTGTGAATGCGCACAGTACACTAATTTGTCTAATGTTTTGATTCCATAGGCAGGAGGTTGTGGATCGGTGCTGCTCAGGATGAGATATTTTTCATAGTCTTTTACAGCCTTTTTTTATGGGTACACAAGAGAATTTTCAGTGTGGCATGCATGGGTCACTAACCTCATGCATGAGTCACTAACTCAAGATATCTATAAGCAAGGATAAGATAACCTGGAAGTAACATTACATAATTTATAGTAAAAAAATTTAAATGGCACATTAAATGTTTATGCTAACAACTGCAAATTAATATTGCGACGCATACAAGTTAACAGAATTTGTTTGAAATGGTCCTGCTTTTGCCTTTCTTCAAAATCCCCCTTTTTCTAACTATTCTCTTCTCTCTGGGGATGGCGAAAATTCAAATATCGATGGGACATATAAGCAGCTGATAATGGGTTATGGGTTTGTGTATCAGATCAGTAATAAAATTTACCTGCTAACTAACAAAACAATCAGACAACACCTTCTGACCATTAATGAAGATTTCTTTCAATTTAAAACGCAACTATGCCACCAATTGGGTAGTTTTTAGGATAGAATTTATCTGTGGTTGGCGCGACAGATTGCAAGGTGCAACATCGTACGATTACATTCTATGTCGGAGTCGGGATTAGTTAGCCAGTTATTTGTTTTAGAAGCATGGACTTGATGGTGGGGGATGTTCGTAATCGACCAGCGGTCGTGTGAACCACCATCAGTAGGAGGAGTGCTGCAATCCCTTGCACATAATTATCTCCGCATGGGATTGGAACCTGTGAAACCCCCAGGGGGATCGGAGATGGCGGTGGCGAGCGTATTCTTAGATGGAGAATTCAATTGAATTCTGGTTATTTTTTGCATTAGCACTGGCGTTAACTTTAGTTATCTATTCAACTTTTCACACTTGCTAATAGATTACCTGCTAACTAGGGAAACAATACCTGTATGGCAATTATTGATTAATACCTTACACGAGTCAAGTCTGCAAGTAGGCCTACGCCTAGGCCTACCCAATCAATAACAGTAGTTTGTCATCTGCTTTCCATTGAAATGAGGGAGCTTATGAATATTTAAAAATTGATAACGGCACATTATGACTC